TAGCTCCCAGTGGCCCTCACCATTAGCTATGTTGGCTGGGACTGATGCAACCTGCAGACCTAAACTTCTGAAGGACCGCAGGCAGCTGACCATGTTCTGAACCATAACCATCTACTACAGGAAAAACAGCAAGGAGAAGGACTCTCGAGCATCATGGTGAAAAAGCCAAGGGGAAGGGCAGCTTCCAGCTTTTATATACATTCAACCTTTCTAAATATATTTACCATGAATACTAACAATATCAAAGGTCCTTACAGTTAGTGCAGCCACAATACTGTACAATTCTGCAGTAAAGAGCGGGATTGAAAGCATGCCCACTTATCATATAGTTTAAGACCTTTAGGACATAGACTATCAATAGCCTCCTAGACTTGTCTAGCATACAGCTAATTAAGATACGGAGAAGCTCAATGGACACAGACACAATAAAATATCCAGCCACAGCCTGGAATGTGACTACTCCAAATGACATCGAAAGCAGCTTTGAAACATCTTGAAATTGGGTGATAAACCAAAAATAAACTTTGTTCAAATAATCATGGTCATATATAGCAGCACAGGCATTTGCAGGTCTTTTAACATTGTATTTTGACAATGTAAACTTTCTGATAAAAAAATAAACAGCAATTTAATGATAACATTTAGTGGCCCATAATCCAGTATTTACGATAAGGAGTTTATGGTCACCATTTGAAAATCAAGGAGAATGCATGAAATGAAGGGTTTTGCGGGGGGAAGTCCATGCTTTCCACAGCAAGAGCTCAGTCCCATAAGCCTCCATGTTGAGGTGGTAGCACCAGGGCCAGCAGCAGGCTCCACTGTAAGTGAAGCAGCCTGGGTCTCAGACTGAACCTCAAAGGAGCTGTCCATAGTCCTGAACTTGGCCCCCAAAAAGATTCAGCACCACTGATGGCTCCCTTAATGTCCATACTGAAACCTGGAGCAGATACAATGTCCTACAGGTCACCTGTGCCCAAGGCCAGCGGTGGGGAAGCTGAAGCATTCTACCCCATCCTGGCTGCGTTGGATGCAGCTTCGCTCCTGCTTCAGCCACTCCAGCTAAAGCAGTTCTTTCCTGTCTAATTCAGCCTTCACAAACATGATGCCCTGCAGAGTGAGGGGGATGCTGCTGGCTGGCCATGATGGGGGGGGGGGTCATCTCAGCACATCTGGAGGGCAACAAGCTGGGGAAGGCTGTGCTAGTTCAAGCACCCAAATGAGTGCTTGTCCTCCATACTCGCCATGGACAAGTGGGCAGACACTGTGTCAGTTCCTAAATAAATCTGCCTGGAGGTTTTTCAGTAGCTAAAGAGCGAGCTGATGGAGAGGAAGCTTGTTCTGGCAGTTCAAATGCATAACTCTCCTGAGGGACATCGGACCATGTCTTCCAGAGTGTGTGTGTTACATGGTGCTACCATCCCATCCTTCTTTGCCACCCCCTTGTTACTCCTGGACAGCCTTCCAGGACGTGTTTGCACAAGAGCTGGTTCAAACATGCATGGGCAGTATTCATGGCTCATGCCACAAGCAAGACTTTCATATTCTCCAATTGCAACCCAAACACAGTTCTTTTAAGTGGAGACATTCACACACGGAACTGACTGCTTCATCCTAGCGTTAAGATGTGTTCAAGTGCACCGAGAGGGTTCTTAAGTCCTGAATATCTGAGTGATGATGCACACACATTTCAGCCAGCTTTGGTAAAGTTGCAGACATGCAACCTGATCCAAATCACTGAAAAGTGGAGTTCTTTGTGCATGGCAAGGGCACATGCTGGACTGGCATTGCTGGTATAGGCCCACGTAGTTTAACTGAGGGCACAGGAGGTGCGGTTTGTACAGAAATGAGTTATTTCCATAAATGAGATCCCCCCCACCACAACTTTTTGGGCAATCCAGTAGATGTTAGGCATCTTTAAAACCTACTCTTGTTTGTCAGGAGACTTCCTCTGAATTGCTCCTTATAAATAGGCAGATTTAACTTGTCTGAATAAACAGCTTAGCTTTAGCAAAGTTAAATATTTTATCTTAGTGAAGCTGAAACACACATTGCCCAGCAGTAAGAACAGTTGCCAAAGTTTATACTTTTATTTCTGATGTGAAACGTAACAGCTAACTTTCCAAACACTCTTGAAATGCTGGATGCAAGTGCCGTAACGAAAGAGTGGCCCTCCCAGTGCAGAGATGCATAAATGCACCGGGCTCCGTCACTGGGGAGTCCTGCTTGGCATGCGCCACTGAACTGAATGGAGGCTGAGCAACAGCAGCTTCCCTAAATTCTATCCATTTTAAAGCAGCTTTGAAAACACATGGTTGTACCCAGGCTTAGTTATACTTTCCACAGACCCACTGCAGTCAATGCAACTTGCATTAGTCCCGACAGACTTAAGCCCCATTAATTTTAATGGGTATACTGGAAGTATGAGTATGTCTGGATCCCATTCATGATATCAAACTATTCACTATGAAATTATTACATTCCCTAGAGCCATTTTTTTGCATATAATGCCACAAATTAAGATAGTTCACTTTGATCTGTTTCTGTTGTCTCTCTTTCTCTCTCACTCTCCCTCTCTCTCACACACAGATCATCTCAAGCAACATGCCTTTTGAGATAGTACTTCAGGTCCAACATTTTATCACTGACAACTATGAATTCATAAATTCAATTTCTTTACAGCCTTATAAACAGGAAAATAAAAAACAACTTGAAAAAAAAAACATTTCTAAAAAAGAAAGGCAGACAGAAATTCAGAGAAATCAAACAGGTCTACTGTATCTAACTGGGAACTTGCCCTTTTCAGATTTGTATTTCTTCTAGAAATGTACTAATCCTTTGCTTTAACAGTCATCACACTGATTCTAAACTCACTGGCTGAGATCGAACCAACCATGATTTGATATATTTGCATATGCTGGGGCTCTTTGCACTGCCCCTTCCCCTGCTCCTCTCCCCCAAGACGGCTAATCATGAAGCTTAGCAGATCCCACAGTGAAGAATCCTTTGAAATATGAAAGGCAGCTGCTGGAAGCCAAAAATTGGTAAAGTCCTGAGCATGTGCAAAGGAACTAGCTGTATACATGGAGTTCTTTCGACCCTGGCCTTGGATTTATTCTGTTGATACCAATGGTCCATCTATTACCTAGAAGTAATAGTCTACTGGCTTGAGTCCTACTTAGAGTTTGTCAAAGCGATAGGTGAGAAGAGAACTTCCCATCAGTCCTCTGACCTTAGGGCTTGAGTTCACCACAGGTAACCCAACTGAAATCACCTCTAACTTGCTCCTAAAGAATGTCAGCAGTGAAGCGCCCGTCCCGTTGCCGCACTAAGCATTGTCAGTTTCAGATCTGAGGGATGGGGCTGCCTTCACTGGGCTCACATTCTTGGGTGGGGTTACCTCCTGGCCACTGTCTCCACAAATGCCCTTTATCTCTGAACCCAATTTGCACCACAATCCAGATGGAAAGCTCAAGGCAATAGTTTCCTCCTCCACCTCCAGTCCGCCTTGCTCTGGTTTCTGCTTGCATGCTAGGAAGGACACGTGAACATGCAGCAGCAGGAGGGAGGAGGAGAAGGGCCAGGGAGCCCCAGTAATTTGGCAGCGGGCCCCTTACTGGGCTCTGGGCCTTCACAGATGCCTGACAATGCTGAGCCTTGGTGTTCCACCTATATGGTTAGGACCAATGAACAAAATATTGCACTCTCAGAAAAGCCGCCTTATTGTTTACTCTGCCTTTATCCTGTTCAAAGTGATTTTACTTCCTTCCAAGGAAGAAAGACAATAGGCACCTCAAAAAACAGGGGGCCTTCAAGTTTCTTGAAACACATTGGGCAGCTTCTTTAGCTTCCCTCCCTCCTTCCCTCCTTCCCTCCTTCCCTCCTTCCCTCCTTCCCTCCTTCCCTCCTTCCTTCCTTCCTTCCTTCCTTCCTTCCTTCCTTCCTTCCTTCCTTCCAAATATTGTCTTAAGAAATAACTGGCATGCAATACTTCTGAGGAAAATAAAGTTCCAATTAGCAGGGACAGGGTGCGGGAAGGGACAGAATAGAATTTAATTTGGCATTTGTTGTGGTACAAAAGGAAAGTCAGAGCTAATCTCCATCAGCTGATCACTCCTTCCTGCCAAATGAATCTTGTGCCTCTTAACTTTTAGATATTAAGCAACCAAAGCAAATTGCTTTTCAAGATCCCCAAGAAGAATTCAGTAAGTAAAGCAGGATCAGCTGTGAGCAAACGCTCACTCCAGCGGAGGAGTGAGCCAGGACTTCCGGGCTCCGGATGTATGAGGCAGACACAGGCACTTACGGCTTCCTGATGGTTGCATGCTAATAGTTAAGTTACTGATGAAGAATACACCAAAGCGGTAATTCCAAAATACGTAGTTTCAGGCTTTTAAAATGCTTGCTTGAGGACCCACGGATGGTCTCCTCCCAGTGATGATCAACTGGGTGCATAATAATGGCACAGTATGTCATCTAAGAAGATGCTTCTCAGGTGGTATGAAACAGTTTTTCCATCTGCTGTCACATCAGGGAATGCTCCAGATGCAGCTGTTGGGTTTGGGGATATGGGCTATTACTGGCCTCAGTCTTGTGTCTCTCTTTGTTATGAGTAAGTACCATGTGAGATTGCTACATCCCATAGCTGATAGTAGCTGGAAATGGTCTTAAAATCATTCGTGCTGCATTTTGGGATCCCTCTTCCATGGGCAGAATTGCAAGACCTCAGTGCAATGTCACACTGTGGCATGATGCCCAGTCCCTACGGAGAAACCACACAGGTCTTTATGCCCATTCTTCAATCTACTGTAATAAAATAGTCTGTTGGATGACACGTTGCTAGAAAGCTGAAGATCTTTGGAGTCTCCTTAAACTTCATTACAACAATATCATGTTGTATATGCGTACAGGTTGCAGAATTTCAGGAAAATAGCAGGTTAAATGTAAAATATCTTTAATAAATAACTCTTCTCCGGCAGTGTAGAAAATAAATGAATATTCCCTTTGGCAGTAATAGCTGATTTAATATTTAGACAGAAAGATACTTGGCTCATAAAATAATAGCATTATGCTCCAGAAAAAAACAAACATACCACATATTATTTCCTCTGCCCCCCTGCTCTTTTCAGTTTCGTTAACAAAGGCTTTCCATCAGTCCATACATTGGTTGAAGTCACTTGTGGCCCAGGTAAGCACCGAGGGTGATGCACGCGCCCACGACCGCCAGGCTCAGGATTGTTTTCAGAGGCAGCCAGGAAAAGTCAAACAAAGGCCTCATGTTGTTGCTGTACAGCTCCACAAAGGCATCCTGGGAAAATAAGCAAGGCGGGGGGGGGAGAGATGAGATTCAGAAGACAGACCTTGCATCAGATATTAACTAAGTGACTCTTTGCCATCAGCTGAACATGCAACCAGAGCGACTATGGAAGCTGAGAACAACCTATTTTGGCTGGATCGTTTCCTTCCTGCTTGGAGCAATGGGACTCCAACAGAGGAGGAAGAGAAGATTCCCCCAGGATTCTGCACAAGACCTGCTTTCTTGCCAGCCAGCCGAATCTGCTGCAAATGAAATTGCCTATTAATAAGCATTCTGGAGGACCAGGCTAGGATAAGTCTAACAGGCAGTGAGAAAAAGCAGACAATTCCCCTAAATCAGTTCTCCCAGATCTGGTTGCTTCAAGTGGCACTGGACTACAACCACCAGCATCCCCAGCTCCAGCTTCCTGGAGGATGCTGAGAACTGTAGTCCAACGCTACTTATTGGTACTAGATTTGGGAAGGCTTGCCTAAGTATTTCCTGTTACCCAATTCACTCTCCCACCTTTCTGTCACAGCACACAAAGGTCCTCTATAGCATGGAGTCAATCCTTTGTCTCTTATTCATGGTTTTGGCACTTCTTGCTTCTCCAAACCAATTTTTCTGGATTTGCCTCTGCTAAGTTATTTTGGTTACCTAACCAGCACTGTCTTCACCAAACCAGACACTTTTTTGTAGGATTGTTATTATTATTATTTTGCATGGGGGAGGATTTAGATTACTGTTTATTTCATATCCATACTACCAAATAGCCAAAGCTCTCTGGGCAGTTCATACACATTGTAAATCACAAACAAAAGCACAAGACAATAAACACATGATATAAAATCCTCAACAGATAACCACTTAACAGCTGGAATGGAATAAGACATTGTCCAGGTTCTCTCTCCCCCAGTACCTGTAGCAACTGTATTATTACTGCATTGTTCTCGCTATTAAAATGCTACACTTTGTTTAAGGTGTTTTAATGTATATGGAAGTGTTTCTTAGTGTTTTATGTGCATGTGATTCAGCTTACATGCAAATTCAGCTTCAGGATTTTCTTGGGAATGGAACTGGTCCATAACCTGGGGACTATTTGAACCTGATAAAAGCAATATATATGCCCGCTCATATGCCATATCATATACACGGGCAGAGAAAACAGCCTCGACCTGGAGCTGGAAAGACGTCAGCGTTGGTGCTGGGGAACCTTGAGAGTTTTCCATAATGGGGGAGCACCCTGAATCAGATTCAGAAACATACAGGCACCCAATGCAAATGGGCCAGCATTGGTCTTCCAGACTCTGGTTGCTGTATTTTGCAGCTCTGGGGCCCTCTTTGAGAGTAGAGTCACATGGAACATATGGCTGCCAGCTAACCAGCGTGTTACCAGAGCACAGACTACCAAAGGCAGGACATCCCTGTCCAGATAGAGGCGTAGCTGGGCCACCAGCTGAAGCTGGTAGAAGGCGCTCCGTGCCACTGAGCCCACTGGAGTCCAAGGTGACAGAGGTGGCTTGAGAAGGGCCTTCACACTAATTATGGAGCTGCCAAGACATGTGTTTTCTCTGTTCAGTTTGCATGCCAAAATACTGGACTGAAGCCAGGAACTCAGGTCACCCCCACTGGAGCTCTGGTTTAGCTTCCTGCTTTGCTCTCTTGCTGCGAAGGGAAGCTGAGAAGCTTGGCGCCTTCGTGATAAGATGCTAGGCAGAGGATGGTGGCAGTGACTGGGTGGTTTTGGTTTCACTTCATTTGAACTGCTGCCATGCTTCCCTTTCCCTTGTGAGTTAGAAGAGACATTCCAAAAGTGAGGGGTGTGACCAGCCCCATCATCAGGGGAACTTGCTGGGTAAGGGTGAGGGAGCCGAGCTTGGCGGAGTCACAGGCATGGCTGGGCACTAATCACCCCTCTGGTTCCGGATGCAGGAATTATTCTTATTGACACATTTAACAACCAACACAAGATGGCGCATCAGACTTGTCACATGGTGCCTCTCAAATCCCGTGGAGCTGGGCTTCAAAGAGACACAGTTACTTAGGGAAACCGAATTAACTCCCACAATTTCTCTTTTGCAAACAAACAAAAGCAAAAATAGGCAGAGTTATTTCCTGTTTTTTCCACCTTTTCACAAAAGGAAGGAATGAACTATTCTGGTCCCAAAGACTGTTTTTATTTTTTATTTTTAATACTTACCAGCCACAGTCTAGTATGCCCAATTCTATTTAAATCAAAATTAAGTATTTTTAACTCCACTGAAATTAATGGCTTTAAAAATACCTAACTTGGGGCTGAAGCATGGCTGCTGTCAGTAGATTCCTAAGAGTGAGTCTTGTAGATTAAAAATGTCCATGAATGATGGCATAGACCACAGAATACAAAAATGCAGGGTTTTTTTGTTTTAGCTTACAAAGAGAAGGGAATAGACAAGATAATAGAAGTTTGGAACTTGGAAAGGGACAAGTAATTTGTAAAGTCCATGAAGTAATGATAAAAACATTAAAACAATGTTGAAGAAAAGCTATTAAATCTATGCACAAGCAAAATCATTTCTAAAGAAATCCTTTACTTTACCTTCTGTTGCCAGGCTGCACCCCAGGGAAGGTCACTTTAGAAAGCGTGCCTTCTTCTTGTGCTGTGTCTGAGCAAGCCACACGCATGAGGTGATGACCAAAGAGAGGGGGCCCAGCCAAGGATATGGCTAAGCTCGGTTCATCCACACCTGCACAGCCCTACTAGAAAGCTACTGCACAGGTTGGGATTCAAATAGGCCTAACCAGACTCTGGGGTCTCTTTGGTCTAGCCCCTTCCATTCAATCACTCATCACTCACCGGCAGCTGCGGAAATGGGCTTTAGACGCACAAAATGTTGCATGTGCAATGCCTGTGAGAGGGCGAAATCTAAGATTTTCTAGCTCAGCTGCTAAAAAAGCTTGGCTGGCCCTGGGTGCTGGACACTTTCACTTGGGGAGGAATGCCTTTTGCTGCCAGATGCAGGCAGCTGAATGACTTTGGCCAGACCTGCAGTGTGCCATGAGGAATCCTATCACACTTAGCTCACCGTTGTCCATATCACCATGACGGGCAGTGGAGTTCACAGGTCAGGTATGTGAGAACTTTCGCCTCATCTCAAACACAGGCCTTTCAGGGAAACTTAGTCCCTGTTATACTTGCCCATAGATATGTGACTAAGTTTCCCTGAAAGGCCTGTGTTTGAGGTGCGACGAAAGTTCTCATGTGACTGATCTGCAACAGCTCCTAAGTCCACTGGCCATCAGCATGGTGATATGGACAATGCCCACACCTTGGCCCAAGTCAAGGTGCTGGCTTTGCCCACAAAATCCCAAATAGCTTGGACCCTGGGTATTTCCCACATGCCTTCTCCTCCTAAAACCTAAGATCACCTGAAGAGTGCCTGTTTCATGTCCCTGTGTCTTTAGAGGCCACATTGACCAGCACAAGGAATGGGCCTTCTCACAAGTCAGCGAACATTGTTGCAGAACCTCAGGTCTGGAGCCAAATCCAGGGTTTGCCAGAAGGCTTGACCTGCTTTCCCTCAACATCTCTCCTTTGATGGTTTCCCAACAATTGTTCAGCTTCCTCCCCATTCAAAAAGTTTGAAAGAGCTTGATTAAAAAGAGAAAGATGAATAGTCAAAGCAAAGCCAAGGTAATCTAAGACTGCAACTCCAATCAAAGCAATTTAATAACACACCAGAAAGAGAAGTCGTTGTAAATACTGTTGCTCACATCCAGTCCATGGCCTCTCACAATCACAGAAGTCAGTAAGAAGATGGAATTATTAGATGTCAGGATATTATTGTCTGATTGGCTTGTTCTCCAGCACAGTTAATTTCACAGCTAGTGGGAGGCACACAGGTTGTTTGTGAGAGTTGGCACAAACAAGGAGGATGGGCTGCGGTGACTTTAAGACAAAGTAAATACTCTGAATTATGATGAGGGATAAGAAACATCGGCAGAAAATACACAGTGGGAAATCCCCTTTTCTCACTGACAACAATAACATCAACATCAACCTTATGGCAGCTGTACCATATATTCTAAGTAACTGTTTTATGAGTCCTCTCTTTCCTCTTTGCTGCTTTCTCAAACATCCTGATTAGACTTATTTCCGAAGCTTGTTTGAACAGCCTGTCCCTATTTGTTTAAGTATGAAACCTGATTTAAACAAATACCCAGACTTATTTTATGCACTAAACCAACAGAGAATCAGGATGGGAGAGCAGACAGGAACCCGCAGGAAGTCCAAGAAGTCAAGTCAAATGAATGCTAATTTCTGGGTATCTCACGAACTGAGCCCTTGGGATCACAGGGCTGAAGCTGGAAAAATTTGGGGGAACAGATTACCCATCTATATCTGCAGTCTCCTGCTATCCCATGCCAGAGATGCAAGAAGGGAGATAATCAGATGCAACCAGTTGCTGATGTCCAGTTTGATGATCATGTCAAAACATCTGTGTCTTGCATATATATCACCACCTCCATGGTTCTGCCAAGCATAAAGATCTGCTTCAGAGGCCTTTCTTTAGATCCAGCAGCACAAGTCATTAGACAGGCAGGTCCAAGGGACAGGGCCTTCCTCAGTGGTGACCCCACACCTCTGGAATTCCCTTCCCAGGGCGATACAAATGGCCCAATCACTGCTGACTTAAAACACTAATATTTAAAACAGTTATTCCAATTTGCATTTGGTGCTTAGAAATCATTAGATTTGCCCCTGCATTTAATTGCAATTTCTGTGCACTTGTCTTTGTATTACTGCTAGCTTCCTTAGAGGCGCGCTGAGCTCTGAAAGGTAAGCAAAAGCATCCTTTAAAAGAAGTAAAGCAGCTTCATTCGAAGCAAGACACAATGGTCCATCTAACCCAGTGCTGCTAGTCTGATTGGTCCTGGTTCCTCAGGGCTGAAAAGACAGAGAGAGAAAGAGAGGTCTTCTCAGGTCCCCACCTGAGATCTTTACTGAAGGTGCCAGAATTTCAAACTTGGAT